TCTCCACCCATGTCCTGAATAGCTCCTACACAAACAAAACTGAAGGGTAAAAGCACCAGCTCACGCATGCTTCTCAGATGCAGTTAAGAGTTTGGCCTTTTCCTTGGCTTGTAAATTGCATTTGCAGCCAATTTACACAAAATTAAATTGAATTTACGCTACGCTTGCACAAAATATCAATGAACGTCATGTAGAGAAACAACAAAAAATGCAAGAAGTAGAGAGGGAGATAAAGAGAGAGATAGAGAGAAGGAGAGAGAGATAGAGAGACCAGAAGGCATGTCCATGGCTAAGGGAGAACGCTTCAGTGCACCGCAAAAAGTCAGCTGCATTCTATCAAAATTCAAATAGTATTTTCTTTGCTCGTCTCCTGCTGTCGTCTGCTTGTTTAGCATGCGTGATGGAGCAGGCAGCAAAAAGCGACTTTCAGGACACAAACGCCATCCCACACCTCACACCTTGCCCCCGCCCCACATCGTTGCGAGTCTATGCAGCTTGTCCATGTAGTTTGTTGCATGTTGCATGGCTAAACAGGAGAAACAGAGTGAAAGAGTGGGCGGGATTGGAAGAAACACGGACAACAAACTCTAGCAGCCATCCCTATGTTTGTTCCACGCATTTTGCAGGACTCGGGTACCGAGCAAATCACAGCAGAGATTCTCCTCATACGTGCATAAAATGAATCAAAACTTCAAACAGCAGCAGGCGGCAAAGTTGATCCACAGAGCATACACATGTGTTGAAAGCTCGAAAGCGGCGGAGGGTCACAAAACATACCATATATTATTTAAAATTTCTTAAGTAAAAGCTTAAAATTCTCTCTTGTAAAAACTATCAGGATCAATGAATGTTCAATGTGTCTTTTTAAAATCCCAAAAATGTTTAACCTTTAACTCGAAAGGATGCCTTATGTTTCGATTAAAGATAACTTTATATTCTCTGCTCCAGTTACGCATTGTTTTATTATTTCGATTCCTGCTTTTTATTGCCGTCATAAATATAACCATTAAATAAATGATCTCAGGTGAGTGAAACCCCTTGACTTGTGCATTGTGCGTAATTATTTCTGTCGCAATAACGGAAAAAAAGCGAGTTTTAATGATGATAATAATTGTTAATTTTTATCATAAAGAGCAATTAATTTGTTTCCCTTTGATACTCCCTTCTTTGGGGCCACGTCTGGACCGAAGCTTGGTCAGGAATTCTTTGCGTTTTATACGCTTCTAGAGTGTGAATCTGACCACTCAGACATAGATGTATGTGCTAATGTCCATTTTCGAAGTTATATTTGCTGGATTGATTTATATGAAAAATCTGAAACAGGGAGTTCTGCATAGCTCGAAAACATTAAGATCACATCACCATTCGAGTATCATATGTCTGCCATAATAATGGCACTCCATTCCATTTGGCAACCATTTTCCTTTCATATTCTACAACCGAAAACGCTCTGCAAGTATATCAGATTATTCGGCTATCAAGTGTCCAAGTCTTTCCTTCCTATTTTTTGATATCATTATTATGGACATTAAGCATAACGTTTCATGTTGCTGTTGTGCTGCTGCTGCTGTTGTTGTTTGCAATGTCTGTGGTTTTAATCAGGGATCGCTTAAAATATGCAATTAATTGCAATTGTCGCTCGGTACTTTGGAGCCATAGCCGTTGTCTGTGTTTACCTTTGCCAGGGACAGCAGGCGAAACATGCAGCGAAAGCCTCATAACTTTTCCATATGAATATAATTAAATTGTTTAATTTCTCGCACAGCAGTGGGCTCCAAAAGAATTCGGACAGGCGTTAAGCAAAATATTTATGCATTGTCAATTACAAAAAAAACAACAAAAAAATTGTCAGAAAAAATGGCTGTTCTGGCATTTATGCGAGTAGTTGGGACAGGACAGGAACTTACAGGAAAATTTTAAACAGTCGCACCCTCTCTTAATGTCAGAAGGACCTACAATTTTTCATTACATTGTCAGAGATATTTCAGTATCAACTATGCCATTCTATGCAGGGACTGTGCTTTGTGCTCCCATTAAATTTTGAAAGATATTCCATATATGTAGAAAGACTACACAGGCGTTAGCCGACTACTACCTATTACCTTTGGTTTTGGGCAGTTTTATCATCGTTACAAAGGTGAGATTTTACTTGTTATCTAAGAGTTGGATGCCTCTGAAAGGATTGCATTTTTGAGCTTTAAGTATATAATAAATTGATATAAATTGCATTCAATCCTTGACTATTCGCTCTTAGTAAGCATTTCTGCAAGCTTGCCTTTATTTACAAACTTACTCGACATGTTAACTTTCGTTAGTTAACCCTTTAAAATGTTTTTTCCCCTAATTTCTGTGGAAATAGGTCCCCAAATAATTGCTTATTACAGCTGCTGGCTCGTTAATTGCCTCCGGGAAAGTGTCGCCTGAGTAACTTTTTTGCTCCTCGCATCTACAGTGATAAAGTGGTTGGAGGAAAGTTCCGGATAGTGTAAACAGTTTGGGGCGAACTTTCGCTCCCTTCGCTGACGTCACGTAAAGCAATTTAACAATAATTAAGCTTATTACCAAAAGCAGTTAGCGGAGCAGCTTTCCGACTTGATTTGGACCAGTGGCCAGTGCCAAAGTTCGCCAGGAAGCCCAAGCCATGAACGATGAAAGGAAGGTCAAAATCCCAAAAAGTTGGCACGTGAGATGAGAGATAGATGAAAAGAATAGGAAACGGAAGTAGACCATGTGGTACCATGTGGTCGTCTCACAGATCCTGTTCCTCCGTCTGCAGCCTTTTGGCGACACTCTCGTTTTGGAATGCACACGGAATTCTCAATTCATTTTAATTTCCAGTCAACACCTTTGCCGACGATTTCATACGAGGTGGATGAAGTTGTAGAAGGATGCAGCAGGGATGCTGCATCTAGGGGAGTGTAATTATCCTTGCATTCCATTTTGGTATGGTCGCCCTTAAACTTTCCCTGCTTTATCTCCCTCTCAATTAAGCAAAAGTATGCAACGAGCACGAGTCTGCGAGGAGCCCAAAGTGCTTAAAGGGAATGCAGCTGGACAAGTCCAGAGCTTCGAGGGCATTTACCTTTTACGTTTGCAACGGTACACAGCACGTGTGTGTGGCGACTACAAATCACGATAGCCAGAAAGGGCACGACGACGACGGCAGCGTCTTGTTTGGCATTTACGTGATGCACATTTAAACTGCGAGCGAACAACATGAATTATGCCTCCGTGGAGGTGGATTGAGCGGCACTAAAGGTTGCCGGACTTGCGAAAACTTTGCTAAATTGTCAGGAAAAACTGTAGGCGAGTGCACAAGGGAGACGTGGAACTGCCGCGGCTCTGAACCTATGCAAAAGAAACGGCAGAGAGCTGCACACGTGCTGAAAAAATTGATAGATGATTGAAGGCAATACAAAAAGGCACATGTACGACATACGCCATGCCACTGCCACTGTCACTGGGGGTCCTGGATAACCTGCAGCCCGTTCTGACGCCAAAAACGGAAAATAGCAATTCAAAAACTCGGCACAGCTAAAAATACTGACACACGGAAAAAGAGAGAAGGTGAGTAAGGGTGTGTGTGTGTGTGTGGGGATCCTAACTCCAGGATCCTGGGCCAGAGCCCGGGCACAAAAATATTCATGTGCAAAATGCCGTGTGCTCTCGTCTCGTCTCTCGTCGTCGTGGCTCTGACGGAATTTGCATAAATTTGGCATTTGAAAAGCTATTCAGCCTGATGGAAATGATGACGAGAGCAGAGCACACACACAAACACCGTTTCCCCCACCGAACATTGCACGACCCCCGATGATGAGGACGATGATGAAGAGGCGCCTCTAGCCGGCTACCGCAAGTTGTATGAAGCCATTAAATGCTTGCACCGCACATCAAGACATATCCAGTGGGAATGCCCAACGCGTCTCGACATCAAGATACCCGGTACTTATGTAGTCTTTATGTGTGTAAATGTATGTATAAGCCAACTCAAAATACTTGAATCAAAGGTTTAATGGCAGAGAACTGCACAAGTGCTGCAACAATTGATTAATAATTGAAGTCAATCCAAATAGGTGACCTATGGTACTTATAAAGACACGCCGGTTTTATTTTTCTGGTAAGAATATTGCGAGCAGAGGTTTTTCTCTGGAGAAAGACAAAGCCTCTAAACTGTCGATTTTTAAAAGGTCTGGTACTTTGATTGGCCTTCATATTCTCAAAGGTAGAGAGTAGAACAAAAACTGCTGATAATTTATGTTTGATTGATTCCAGGTGCTAAATCGTATGGCAACTTTAGAATCCTGTAATAACCTTCAATACAATTAATAGTAACTTTAACGTTACTATATTACCATTCTCAGAGTATGGGATTAAAGCTAGCTAATATAATAAGTAGGTGTTGGGTTGAAAAGCGTCTGGGCGACTCAGCTCTCATTCTCATTCTCACTCGACTCATTCAAGAAATGAGTTGTAATTTGAGCTAAATCCAATCTCGAATTTACATTGCCTAAACTAAAATGTTTAACTGCGCATTTCCTGGGACTCAGATCATGCCAAATTTCTCCTATCTTACAAACTGCTTTAGATATGATCTACCACAAGGATTAGGAATAATATTTCCAATAATTATGTTGGCTGTTTAAGGAGGCCTAGCAGCTGGTGGATGGTTCAAAAATACTTCCTAATTTATACTTTTAGAACCCTTCCAGTGCCATTGTTAAATTGTTGCTTCTTATGGGGATAATAAAGCTTGTCGCTGCTCTTTCAACACAATCAGTGGCGGCTGGACCTAGCATGCGGGGGTGTGGTATTAGTTTTCTGCCTTCGGGGACTTGACTGTTTTGTGTGAGGGGTCGCAGGTCACCTACCAATTTGTTTTGACTAAATTGAGCAGGACACGGCAACGGTTTCAGTTGCTTTTGCACTTTTTGCGACTGCACCAGTGAACTTGTTGTTGTCGATGTTGTTCTTGTTGTTGAGGTTGTTCTCTTTGTTGAGTTACATAATGATGTTGAGGTTGTTGCTGCTGTTGTTGTTGTTGTTGCTTCTGCATCGCTGGCTGAGGCATGCAATGGCTGTTAGCAAATCGCACGAGTTTTACAAATGTCACGCAAATTGCTGCGACTGCTGGCAATGAGGCAGCCCAGACTCGATTGCTGATGCGATTCCTGCTGCTGCTGTTGCTGCTGATGGCTTTGCAACTGCAGCCGCTGGCCAACACACAGACGGGGATAGGGGTACCCAAAGGCATGCCTCTGTGTCTGTGTGACATGATGCTGCTGTTGTTGTTGCTGGTGGTGGTGGTGCTGCTGATGCTGCTGCCAGCGCATGCGCCGCACGCTCAGTGCACCGCAGGGGTACGCAACCTGAAAGAGAATTGATGAGAGATTCAAGAGAGAAACACAAACACAGAACGTGGCACAACACTCAAAAGAAAACTCAAAGAAAATATTGCACTCTTCTTGCTTGAAATGTGGAAAAAGATGGCAAACAAAACAACAACAACATCAATGAGCACAGGAGGGGTATTGGAATATATATGTATTGTATTCATCAATATATATATATATGTGGGTTTATATATGACAAACAGAAATCATGATCATTGGAAGTAGCTTTGCTTTTAGATAGAGTCTTAGGAGTACAATAGAATAGAGTAGGAACAACATCAACAACAACAACATCAATTATAGAACAACATCAATATATGGAAGTCAATAATAACATCGATTTATTTATATATAACTTATATTTGTTTGTATATGTTTTGTAGGCACACATCCCCATCGGGTCACTCGATCCCCTTCCTTCTTTCAGTTTAAAATAAAAACCCAAATTCATGGCTCATCTGGATTGGTGAAACTTGCTTAGAAACTTAGATACATTTAAAAGATACACATACACATAGATGGTACACATACATAATCGTATAAATATGACACTTACCTTCAACAAAGAAACATTTTCGTCGATATTATAAATATATCAAGAGTAAAAAAGGTGCACAGAGGAAAGTGGTAGAAAAACATTGACAGAGCATGCAAAAATGTTATGTTTGGTTATTTCTAGGATGCATGCATAAAAAAAAAAAGTTTATTATTTGTTGAGTTTTATATTCCGTAACTGTAATTAAAAACGCGACATTAAAAAGAAAATAAACGAGAAGGGACGTTTGAGACGCTTTTTACGCGTCACAACTTTTATACCCGGCACTCAGTACTACATCTGCACCTTAGCAGTGTTTTGTCAAATTTTAAATTTTTTCTTCAACTGTCATCTACATCTACAACACTTCTCACACCAACACGCTCCTTTAGCTAGCCCCCCTTCCCAAGACCAACACACTGCAGACTCGCGGCAGAGGCAGAGGCAGCGCCCGCACACAAAAAAACAAATATAAGCTGCGGGATGGGGTGGGTTCAAAATCGGCAGAGGCAGAGGCAGGGGCCTAGTGAAGCAGAAGCAGAGTGTGAATGAGAGAATGTGAAAAGAACAACAAAAGCTGCGGGACAGGGTGGGATTAGCCACTGGAAATTAATTTCTTCATTGTGGCTATAATAATGATCCAATCGGATCCCAATTTGGTGATCTGATAGATATGGCCATTCCCTATGGAATGGCGTGTTAAGTTTTCTTTTATCTTCAAAATTGTAGGTTTGGAAGGTTTTCGGCCTTTTGCGGGGCGGAAGGGGAAGGGGATAATTTTTGAAATACACTGGTTTCAGTGTGAGCATACAGCAGTCTGGAGCCAAAATGTGGTGGCTCTAGCTTTTAAAGTCTCTAAGAACTAGCCGACAAACATGACGGACGGACGGACAGACGGACAGACAGACATGGCTCAATCCACTCGGCTATTGATGCTGATCAAGAATATATATACTCCATGGGGTCGGAAAAGTTTCCTTCTGTGCGTTACATACAACCGTTATTCCCCACAAATACAATATACCCTATTTACTCTTCGAGTACCGGGTATAAAAAGGATATTTATAAAATATAAGAAATATAGCTAATGTTCATCATCAAACAATAAAGAGCCACAAAAGAAGGCTTGACTCTGATTTACGTACACTATCAATTACTCAGCGATCTTTTGAGTGGACAATAAAAATGGGAGAAAGTGTGGGAAACATTCAAATTAAATGGCAAGCCAATAGGAACAGCGGAACAGCAGCCATTAAAGCGGCCACTCTATAAACAACAATTTCCATTTTGTGGCTAAAAAAAAACATATATTTCAAAAATGTTTAAAAAAATAGAGCTCTACAAATGATATTGGGAAAAATGCCAAGTGGCGTGGCAATGGAAACTGCATCAAATAATTCAAATTAAAATAACGCTTGCCGCTGGACGCGGACCAAAAGCATATTGAACTAAGCCAACCAAAAAAAAGGCATTAAATACAATTTGTTATATGTGCAAATGGAAAAACAGCAAACACATTTTTGGGTGTGATAAAAAATAATTGAGATATGAAAAGGAAAAAGTCGCCGTCGAAATGGTTTATGGAAGGACACCATCCAATTTTCCAAAACCTCCTCACTGTATTCTTCCCACATAGAGTATAACTACAAAGCGAAACGTCCGCAAATGGCAAACAAGGACTAGTCTTTTGTGCTGCCCGGATAGGGCGTGGAAAAATATTTAAATTATTCAATAAAATATCAAACCACTTCTACATAACGTTGCAATGTGGCTGGAAATTCTCTTTTTTCTGTCTCTTTTGTCGGCCATTTGTTGCCATACACATGCCGAATTTAATAATATTAATCTCGCTGATTGTCTGCCTCAAAGCCGTGGCGCAACAGTTGTTCCTTTTGCCACTGACTGAATGATGTGCAAAATATGTTAGAGCACCTCTTGCGGATCCCATTCCAACCACGAGAATTTTCACATTTTTATTACGTTGTGCGGTTCTTCAATAAAAATGTCGCGTATTTGACTTTCAAATGCATAAGGAGCTGTAGCTCCAAACCACTCCGTCGTCTGGCAGTTTTCTAATAAAATATATTATTACACATGCGCCCGCATAAAATATTCTCTTTGTAGTCGGGTGTCGGCCACATTTCATGGATTTGCCAAAGTTGAAAATTGCTTTTGCTGATGCGGAGGCTCCTGCGTAGACAATTTTTTATGGCTCTTCTCACATTAATCAAGTCCTTTTCCTGGTTATGAGCAGGGTATTGTGGTTTTCGAGTGCTTGTGCGGGCTCCCGCTACTCCACCCTTTTTTGGTCATACTTTTTCCAGTTTTAATCTTTGCTTTGCTGGCGCGTTCCCTAATTTTTTCTCGCTTAAGCGTTGCTTTTCCTTTGAATTCGCGATTTATGCTTAATTACTTCTTTGGCTCTCAGTCTCTCACTTCTTCCTCTCTTAAATTTGAGCTTGTAGAGAACCAGCAACATAACACTTTTAAATCGAATGTATAAGGTAACTCCTTGCCGCAGCTAATCCCCCTACAGAGGAGGGGGATTTCGGAGAAGCCATTCGAAACTTCCCTTTCCCCTGAGCAACCGAGCCTAAGCCGGCACACTTTGTTTCTTTTTTTTTGCCGGCATGAAACAGCAAAGAGCAATTCGTTGGCCATAAATTTCCATGCGGACTTAATTGCCTACAAAGCACCCAGGAAAAAGCTAGTAGCTTCCTTGGGCTGTCTGAAAAGGACCACATATAAAACTCATTAGTCTAGCTAATATGCAAAATGAAGAAGTGTCCTGATACAAGCTCATGTATAAGGATAAGAGTTAATCCTTACATTTCATTAATGCTTACATGGTACTGCACTCGACTTCCGTGAGGGAACTCCGAGTGCAGCTAATTTTCACATTTGAATAATGATCAATTCGCTGGAGAGGCATACCTTTCTGCATATCTTAATTAACTATCTGCAACTAATTTGATAAAATAATAATTAGTTAGCTAGGAAGCTATCTTAAATCTACCTCTTCTCTCTAGTTCTGGGCTGTCGAAAATAGGCTGACCTTTTTTTTCCTTTTAAATGTTCAATTCCTGTTGGTCAGGAGACACATGGACTCCTTCTAGGCGTATACTTAATTAAAAGGCCATCCGGCCAAGGCAGCAGAAAAAATTCTTCTTCATCTGCCCACTGGTGCTTTGCCGCAAACCTTTACTTTCCCTATCCTGGTCTGCCTGGTGTGAGTAAGCGAATTCATTTCCCGCTTTTGGCCGTTGATTGATATGCCAATGAAGCGAATGCCGGCCTCTAAGCTGAATAGATGTAAGGCCAGACCGTGAAACCGGCACAGGCGCAGGCACAGACCCCAGCACTCCAGTTACGCCAGTCCGAGCCAGACCAAAGAAGAAATGCTGAAAAAATCTAGTTCGTTAGTTCTTATACTAAGCGGGACAATAGCATACATTGCGGTCCATTCGCCGACGCAAAATCAACAAAAATGCAGATGGGGCCAGATAAATTGCCAAAGTGAAGCGCCAAGCACCCAAATCCCAATCGCTTTTAGCTCTCTTCTCTTCGGCTCGTCTCAGTTGAGGTCTGGACTGTCCAACAATTTGGATTATTTTTTTATGGGCACCCTCGACAAAACCACAAAAAATGGCTGTTGGATGTTGGATGGAGTCACAGGCGAGGTTTGTAGCAGTAAAATCAAAGGCCTTTTGGCTTTCGATCCTCTTGCGGCTTTAATGGCGGAGGGATGTATGTATGCTCTTTAGCTGAAAGTGTCGCATATTCAGGCCTTACTGATTTTAAATTATGCCATAATTATATTCAAAAAATATGTCTTAAAGGAAAAGTTCTCTGAAGAGGATAATAAGCTGAAATATATCTGGAAAAATTTTTAGCTAAGCCCAAAAATTTTATCTACGGTCATTAACGATTTGTAATGTAGTGCATCTGTAGTGTGCATAGGAGCAACAGTTTTAAATATTTTTTTAAGCGATCTTAATTTATCGATCTTAATTATCGAGCTAAGTTAAATTTGTATATGCGGACTAAGCTGAATATACAGTTGTCACTTTCTGCAACTAGAGACAAGTTCAATTCGAATGCAGGGCATTTTGTAGCCGTTGACTTTCGCCAGAGCTTCTTACTGTTTTTTTTTTTGGGCGCGACATGAGGGGCGTGCTTGATTAATTGCAGACTGTGGTTAAATCCTTTTTTGTGCTGATTTCGGCAGTTTTTCTGCTGTTAGCTATGCTTCTTTTCCCACTTTTTTCCCAGCCTGCTCTTTCGTGGAGTATGAACACGTAAGCAAAAATATTTTACAGCTGGGCAGCACAGAAACACAATGCTCAGACCTCGGTCCAAGGCAGAGTAGAGAAGCAGGAGGAACGACACCGCGAAATTGCCCGAATAAAAGTGCCTATTGCCGGTGGTGATCATCCTGCCTCATATATCTGTTCCGGCTAAAACTCTGCTTTGGGTTCTTTTTTCTGCTGTTGAGAATTAGCAAAAGCCCGGGACCATTTATCAATTTGATGCAGCTTTGGGGCACTACACAGTCCCATTCCCAGTCGTAGAATCTTAAAGTATGCGCCACATTATTTACTGCATACATTTCGTTGGCTTAGTTTCTTGTGGGTGGGATGGGGAGGGAGGGAGGTAGGATATGATACTCAGTGCGGAAAATAGGAGAGAAAGAGTGAGTGGTTCGGCTGTGGCGATTTCCGCCTGGCATTTCTTTAGCAGACACTTCCTGGTCTAAGGATTTCTGGCCGACTGCTGGCATGTGTGCAAAGTTACTGCCCACATCCTGTATCCTGTCTCGCTTCGCTGCAAATATTTTTCATTTTCGAAAAAATTTCCGTTATGATTTCCTCTCCGCCGATGTGCCGCCGTGTGCTCCCACACAATTCGGAGCAGTTTTTTATGCTCTTTCTTTTATTTTTCTCTTTAGAAATTTGAATACGACAAAGCAGCGCATAAGAATCAGATAAAGCCAAACTGCCAGTTGCCATGAAGTTGAGCGGTGCTCCAGCTACAGCTACAGCTCCAGTTCCAGTCCGTTCGCCCTTCTACTTATTTGACTTTCCATTTTTATGCTAAACTGTTTCCTCTCTGCGGACAGGCCGCATTTCATTTGCACAAAAAACTTAGCCCCATCCGACCCATGTTCTGAAGCGGAAAACGGAAGTTATATCGTCCGAGCGACGGCCGGGTTACAGAAGATTGCATGCGGGAGGCGACACCCGAACCTTGAGCCGTGCAGCTGTGGGACTCCACTCATCAAAGCACTCTCGATATGTTAATTACCACTCAGATAATGGTTGTTTTAAGAGTAAAACCGGTGGAGCAGAGCAGAGCTCTACTCATGAATCAACTCTTGTGCACCCCCTTGTTCCTTCTTCCTTTCTTCTGCAGCAGCGACAGCTCAGCAAAGGCTAAATTTCCTTCGCTAAGAAAATTTCAATAAGAGCTACCCTGAAAAGTTTTTGCAACACACACACAGGCATAGAAATATAGATAGACAAGTGGTACAACGAGCTAAAAGTTCCATAAGAACGCAGGGAAGCAGGAAAAACGCCATACCAATCTCTGTCTGAGGCTAGGGCTAAGAAAATGTAATAAATTTCTATACTAAAACGACCATAAATTTCCCACTCTGCCAATCTCTCTCTCTATGTCGAAGAGTGAGACAACTAAAATTTGAAAACAAAAAGAGGGAAATGGAGTGGGAGCATGTGATAGGAGAGCCAACCATTCAGCCCATCTTTTCATCCATCTCTCGAGAGTTTTTACAACTGCGTCTACAATACACAAAACATTTTGCATATTTAATTAACTTTTCTGTTCTCGGCCTTTATTTTTAGTGTGATTTTTCTTTTGGTTTTTGTTTGTCGCTTTAATTTCGATTATGAATTTTAGACAAAGGCCAGAGACAGCAGCAGAGCCCAAAGGCCACACAAACTTTGAAGACGTGGGGCACCCAGATAACTATGGGGATGGAGAAATGTATATTTCACACTACAACTTTGAATGTAAGTTACACACAAAATTAAACATTTCATAATAAGCCATATTATTGTTTGTTGAACGTACTCTCATTCACCAATTTTATCGTAATTTTCCTCGCCAATTTCCTCACTATATTCAGCAATTTCAATTAAATGGTTGAAAATTCAGCTAATGCACTTTTCCGGGGAGACGGGAAAAATAGAAACCTAAAACATACGTTCCCTACACGTATTAACAAATTTACACGTGTTAAGCATTTATGGGGGAAAGCCAAAACAAAAATAAATACATAATAACAAATTCTGAAATTAATCTCTTAATTTATTGACTATGAAAATTGTTATAAATTTGCCAGCCAATTGCCTCCCCACTGACCAAATGAAAACCACTAGAGCGAGGGATAGGATGACTTTTGCAAAAATATTTTATCAGAATTACAACCTATGCAAAAAATATAAAACCAAAACGATGAGCAAACAACAAAATACAGTTTACACATTTTGCATTTGGGCCATGCGTGGGAGCGAATGAGGAGGGTCTTTACTCTATACGGAGGGACATGCAAGAAACATTTTCAAGAATACAGTTTATATATTAAATGGGAGTAGTGTCAGAAATCTAGAAGTATGTGAATTAAAAAATTAATATAATGCAACGGATTTCGAAGCATTCAATACCCTGTCAGATCAGAATCAACATTCGTGTGAAAAAAAATCATAAATTCGTCTCATTTGAAAAAATTATCCCATGAAGTATGGAGAAAATGTGAATAATCTTCATATTATCTATTACTTATTATGATTTTAATTATTAAACTGCTGTGAGGGTACAACAAACCAGATTTGACATCCGATTGGATATTCTGGGAGTATTGTCAGGGATTTTATGCAAATTTAATTAACAGAAAGCCATAAAAATCAAACAATACCCAAACCACCGCAACAAACACTTTCGAGAACTACTTTCGAGACTCGCGGTGCTTACCCCTGATATGGCCTGCTTGTCATTGAAGAGTGGCGTAGCCTGTGCGGCGGATGAGGTGGGCGAGCTGGCCGCCGTGGCCGTGGAGCTCTCTGGTGTATAGTACGTCAGGAAGGCGCAGCCTGCAAGAAAAGATGGAAAGGAAAGTTTATTCAGAATTAAAGGTGGAACTACATTAAGCAAGGAGCAGGAGGAGATGTTACAGCCATAGATCATACAGACTACTCAATGATCTTTGATGACAAGGACAGGAGAGCGCGGATAAGTTGAATATACGCTAATCTTTTTGAACCATATTTTATGCGTTAGTGATAGAATTTGTTCATTGCCAATGATGCAACTGTCAATTCAGTTAGTCTTATAAAGCCCGTTTAATAGACATTCCTGTAGACATTCTGTTCAACAACAAATCGAATATGAAAAGAGCCCTATTACACTTCGAGTACCGGTATAAAAATAGGAAATATGGAGTTTCCCACCAATCCTATGAATATGGTGTCTGTCTGCCCTTTTCGTGTTTTCCATGTTTCGTCGAATTACTCAATTAAAGCTTTGCTATGTGGGGTTGCATGGTTGATGAGGGGGAGAGTGGTGAAGCGGTGTGAAGTGGTGTGTTTTCCCAGAACCGCACATAATTTCCAAACCTTTCCGCGCCTTGCGTGTGGAACGCGTCAACGTGTTTAGCACAGTTTTGTGGCCATTTTCATAGATCCGTGTAACATTTCCTTCTTTCTGTTTTACTGCCGAGCTGTGGTGACTGTCAGGTGTCGGGTGGACCTCTATACCCACCTCACCTTAGCCTCTCTGCCACTGCACTGTCAGTGCAAACATGCAGTCTGCCAACACAACCCCCATCTGTGGTATGTGGCTCTAAACGTCACCTAATCATGCCCCTTAAAAATTTGTTGTCTGTTCAGCCCTTCTCTCTCTTCAGGTGCAACAACAATTAATAATTAATTTTTAGGCACGTTTCGGCCAGGCCTTGACGCCTTAGAGTCTGTTTTTGGTGGCCTTTTTTCTGGCAACAGACACCCTACAGGCCGCAGCATGCAACATGTCAAAAGTTGAACGACAAGTGTTGACTGTCAGAGCCATATAAAAACTTAAAAATTGTCGGCACATTGTTGCAATTCCCGGAAATTATTAGGAGCTCCGTAGCAGGAAAAGCGGAAAAGAGCTGCCAGTAATTAAAAAAGTAAAACATAAAGGGAAAAGTAAAGAGCGCAAAAAGGGTTTACCAAAGGGTCTGGACTGCCTAATGAGTATATTAATTAATAAAAGTGACCCTCTTACTCGCACGGCTTCCAGGGAATGGCATTCGGCGCCACACACTAATTGCCGGTCTCCCGTGAAAAATATCAGAGAACTAATCCAGCTACACTCTCGAAAGAAATTCTTAAATACGTCGATTACATATATGTAGATTTGTGTGTGTGTCCACTTGTCGATTGGCAGGGATATACATATGTACATGTGTACATTAAGTTTGCGCTTATTTGTATGGATGGTTCCTATGGCAGCTTTACCATGTTTCGCTCTGATTGAATTGATTAGTTTTATACCCGGTACTCGAAAACTCAAGAGGGTATTGTATTTGTGCTCGCAATTGGATATGTAACGCAAAGAAACCTTTAAAGCATATACATATATTCTTGATAAGAATCAATAGGCGAGTCTGTCCGTCGTATTTGTCGGCTAGCTTTCACAGACTATACGATTATTATGGTTCATTATTTATTAATTCATTTGATCTCGAACAGAAAGATTTTCAAGGAATAAATTGGGTTCGACATCCAACGAGCGCGATGTAAGCCAGGTGCTTTGATCGATAATGCTTTTTCAGGCTCACCTCCCAAAAAAATAATAGTGAGGTAAAGTAAGTCCTTGTGGTCATTTCTTGGTTTATGCAACAATAATTTCTCCTTTGGAAAGATAATAGTTTTATGTGAGATATCTTAAAAGCTAATAGAGAGCGATGAATCGGAAAGTACAGATCTAAAGTAATTTTTCTTTACATTTATCCTTCCTTCTTTCATTTTTTTTCCAGTAGAATTCAAGCTAGATTTGTAAGCCCTGTGTTACATTTCAGACCCCAAGAAGATATTGTTTCGCAAACAGCTTCACCACCCGATTCAGCCGATCCGCAGCTAAGTTTTGAGAAAGCAAGGAGTTGATCGACTAGCTTTCCTGGTACAAACGTGACTACCCATCATACCGACAACTTAGTTACCACTTATGTCTTCTATAATTTTTCCTTCCCAGTCATTATGGTTTAAATTCGGCTTTCAAGCACTTCGCCAATTTATCTCTTTATAATTCTTTTTATATTCGTTGACGTCGAATAGTATTTGTACTCACATTTGCATAAATTCAATAAATTTCTCTGCAAATTCGTATAGATAAGAGCAGCCTTAAAATTTTTGAAAATTTTGGGTGAGCTTAAGTTTAAAATTCGGTAGTTACTTCTATAGGGATTATTATCTTTATCTAACTGAATATAATAACAGAAAAAGGAGTCCCGTTTCAATAAAGTAAAAAAATTAATATTGTCCAAAGATTAATTGAAAGACGATTTGCACACATTCCATTTCCGAAATTTTCCATTGTACGTATGTATGTATCGGAGCCGTAGATCTTTGCTTGAATAATGTGCTATTTTTGGATCATTGCTGACATTTCTCTTGCGCGTTTGAATCACAGCTCGTAATTATAATTAAAGTTTGAAACACAAATCTAGTTCCGATATTTTTTTTCAGTATATAGTAAGGCGAACTTGTTCGTAGAAACCATGAGTCTGAAAAGGTTCCTACATACATTAACGTCCGTCCCGATTCTGTATGAGCGGAGTGGCTTTTATCACAAAACGGCTTCTCTCTGTAAAGGGAAAGGGCAAAGCTGCTAACGATTTTGAAACTGCAATTTTTATGACCTGCCAAGGCACCACAGTGACTCACAAACACTTGGAGAAGAGCACAAGTTTTTCATATTTCAGAGAACGGAAAATATTTGCATTTTATAGACCTTCTCTCAGTGCACCTCTGTCCCTCTTTTATTGGTGTGAGCTCCGCATTGTTTTGCCCTTTTTTTGTAGTCGCGACAATTTGCGACATGTGCGTATTCTCCTCTGGCCTTCTGTAGCAAGATACTTGAGTGCCAAGTCAGTTGAGTGCCTGCAAATTGGCATCGTTTAAAGGGTCACCCTGCCATCACAACCCGTTTCCACTTACAAAGCTGCCTCTACAATGTTGTTAACTGCGCTGTAAGCTGCTGGGCAAAGCAATTAGTTGCTTAGTGCCCTCCCAGTCTTGTACTCATATGGATGTGAGCATTCATCTCTCTGAATTTATTAACCCACATTAACCACTTTCACTGGCATAACTTTCCACTTATGTGGCTTTTGTAATGTGCCCCCGAAGCATGATTTTGTGGGGCCCACAAAACTTTTCACTCACAAATGGAAAAGGACACGCTCTCAGGATCTCTTTTGCGGCTGACCAGGGGACAGGGGCAAGCGCATACTAGTGTATTCACCTCAGCCCGCTAATGAATCACTTTTGCCAACCCACTGACCGCAAGCTAGAGCACCACCAGGGACCAGCCCACCAAGCACCACTTTCGAATGGTTCTGCTACTCTGCGGTTCTATAAGCAACAAAGCAGGCGAAAAGTTGCGACTAGAACGACAACTGAACAATTTAATTAGCATAAGTTTCTGCCCTGCTCTTTCAGAATACTCTTCACTCTGTGTTTCTCTCCCTCTCTCCTGGACACTGATTCTCTTAGCTATGGAAATTGAAATATCAAAGACCAGAAATGTTTTATGCATTTTTATTTTGTGCAAATAAGTTTATTTTATTAAAACTTTCAAAAGTGAAGGAAACAGAAAGAGAAATGCAAGTAGGCACAGAAAAAAAAGACCAAGCTTTCATGAATTTTCCCGGGTTAGACCAAAGGATACCCTGTCCTCAGATTAATTCCAGTTCACACAAATTTAAAGCTCTGTCTTTGATAGTCTGCAAGTTTTTATTGATTATTCGACATTAAATAATAAAGTAGCACACGATTTGTAAGGTACCGTCCAACTACAGGGTATGAAAAATATAGAAACCTGCAACCATAGTCTCTTTCTTGTACCGTGCCTACGGTTCCTGTCAAAGTCATTGAAATTCAGTGCATGCATAAAAAATTAACTTGAGAGAGAACTGAAATAGAATCAGAAACGGAAACAGAAACAGAAACAGAGGCAGCAACAGAAGAAGCAACATTCGGGCAAGGCAATTTAAAGTCACGCCTTTTGAGCTGGCCAAAAAATTGCTGAAGTGCACTCCTGCGATGCCAGGAGAGCCAGTGGGGCAGCTTTGATGAGTTGCAATTAAAATTTGTGGCTTGGCCTTGCAACTGACGGTTGCAGGGGCATTTGCATCGAGCTGATTCTACCACCTTTGACATTTCCCCCCACCCAAAGGAGAACAGCCAAACTACATATTCGTGGAAAAGTAAATAAGCTTTTGACACACACTTTGAGTACCCCTGGCACTGGTACTGACAGTCCGCCCCTTATTTTGACAGAAGAGAGCTTAGTCAGTCAGTCGGTCGTGTACATTAAATTCAATTGAATATTTTATAAGCTGCCAGCCAGACAGACGAGAGCGGAGTGCAGGAAGAGGCAACAATAGCCATTGAGAAAAGAATGCTCCAGCACGAAAAGCGGCAGCCAAAACACAAGTGGCTCCCATCACAACCCACACACTCACGCTGTGTCCATAAAGTAAAAGTAAAAGCACGATTTTTGGGGGTCTGGCAGGGCAATTGGCTGGTTTCTAGTGAAGGTGGCATCCTGATAATAGCCGCTGAACTTTTCTTTATTACATGCAAAAAAATGGAGTGAAATGTTGGAAAGGGAGTTAGCTGGGGCAATGGCACAGTCAAAGTTGAAAACAAACCACAACAGGCGGCAAGTGGCAACAAAAAAAATGGCAGGGAAATAAAAAGAGAGAACGGGACCGAAGCCTGAGATACTCTAAAACTAGAGAGCTGAAAAGTTGTTTATCCGTGCCAATAAACTTTAAAAGTGCCACTCAAAAAAATGTTGCCCAAAAGAGGGCAAGAGGAAAAATATTATGAAACGGAAAGACGGCGTGTCAGGGCCCTTCCAAAATGCCGCCTTATTAGTCATCCATAAATTATGCACATCCAATTGGTAGAAACAGAAGCACTAAAATGAGGGCAAGGATAGAGTAGAGCTCGTATTATCTAATATGCCACAGGCGTCTAGTAAAATAATTGGCGTTCATCCGACCCATGGCAGCAATGTGTAGATGAAGGAAGGTCTTTATATCTTATTCATTAAGTTATTATGTGTTTATACCTCACACAATACAATGTGAAGAGCTTCTAAAGGAGTTCGCTAGCTGGCGTTTATTGTGTATTGGCAGGGTTAACATTCCACTCAGGAATCTCCTTCTAGACTCTCTAACCTCTGTGTTGGCTCCTCTTAAGTGCAGCTTCGAGTTACTTCTACCTTGCTCTTTGCTCCCTCCACGAGAGATACACAGGAAATTGTTATGCTTAATGACTTTTCTTTCCGAGCCTCTGTTCTATCGGAGTAGCTGGTAGGAAATGCCTTAAATGTTAAACGGTGCACCCTCAATAATTGATTAGTTTGTGGCTCGTAGCTGGTTAAGTCCTTTTGCAGCCTTTTTTTAGCTTCTGGCTGTGATTAAATCACTCATTCCCCCCTACATTTCTCTTTCTAAATTGTCGACATATTTTTCCTTTGGAAGGAGAGTAAATTTTGCTGCTGGTACAAGGGTCTCAGTGCCGGCTTATTCTTTGAGTGGCTTACTGCTTTTAGATCTCAATCTTAAGCCCCGAAGTTGAATTGAGTTTGACTTAACTTTCATTACGTGCTGAAATATCAGCTGAACAAAATCTAGACTCGCGAAATTAATGGGGAAACCTTTGAGTCATACGGGTATGTTCAAAAAGCAGCAACTGCTACCAATTTCTGGTCTTCTGGAACTCCTTCTTTTGTGCTCTTAACGTATGTATTCGCTGGGTGTACTTTTTTTAATCATAACATAATGGCCCAGCATTATACTTAATGGATTGCAAGTGTTTCCAGGCGGCATCTTTCGTACTTGCTCTTTAGTTTTTTACCTTGCAAAAAGGCAAAAAGCTTCCCCATCTCCATTCCCTGTCCGCATCCTGGCAGTCGAGGGCTTCCCATATGAGCAGCTGTGGAAGTCAGCTCCCGGAGTGCCATTGCTTAATGGCGCTAGTTGCCTTTTAAGTGTAATTGCCGTGACCCAAGTGTTTGTAATGTGAACGAATTTCTGCGAGTTTTACCAAAAAACACGCAGAGTGGGAGAGAGGGACATCAGAGTTCTCCTGCTGTCCTCTCCCAAGCCTGTCTGCTGCTTTTAAAATTATTACTATATTTGTGAATATGCCCGCCGCTACACCATGGCCTGACACCCACCAGAGTTAAACCTTTAAACGCTGCTCCAAACCTAATTCCCTTTAGTTTTGTACTCACTTGCAATGTGCTCGTTGTGGAAGGCCAACATGTTTACAGTGTGTCCGTTAGGCTCCCGGTGTCCAAATATAGCCCGTTGTAGTGCGATGAATTCCTCCTGCTGCGATCCTGTTTGCGAGTGCTGCGCTGAGCTCCACACTTTGATTTTAGAGAATCAACTGAGTAAAATGGTACTCTGGTGTAATTTTTGTCAATGCCTTAAAAAATACTGCAAAACGATATTCATTTAATAATAAATTAATATTATTATTAATTTAATATTTAGTTAAATTTAAATTTTAAGCTTTAAGTTACTATTTCTTTGTTTCTTTTTTTTTCTTGATATCTCCCCAACAATTAAGTTTCAATGCTGACCCAAGTTGTGTAGTTCGAACTACTTTCTAAATACAACTTTCTATCCATAAATTTACTGCTCAGCCGATAGCTAGTATGACTTAAAGGGTTCAGGCTGCTCTTCCTTTGGTCTTCCGAAAAAATTAAGACCATTACCATTACTTTTAGGAAATAACTTTTAAGTGGCGTTGAATCCCAGCAAACATACAGGCACATGAAAATTGCATTGTGCAGCAGCAGGGGGCACACTTGGCAGAACCCCTGGTATCCAGTCGGGAGGTACTACTCCTCTGATTCCTAGCGCCGTCGGCTCAGCGAAGCGCACACCCACCCAAACGGAAGCACATGCTGCGGAAGTGAATTTTTTGCTTCCGTTTCTAGCGCCGTAAGAAGCAGCAGATGACGGGTGGGGAGTGGACGAGCGAAGCAGAATGACTGGGATGTGCTACTCTGGAGTAGTAGGGGGAGTGACGGCATTGAGAGCATGCAACACATACATTTTTAGGGACAGGCGGGACAGGTCCGGACAGGCGTTCAAACAATCAAAGCTAAATGTCAAAAATACAATATGGACGAGAGACGACAGGCAGCAACAGAACCAAAACCAGTGGAAAAACACTCATTCACTCAGTCCGCCAGTCAATCATTCGTGCATGCAGTCAGGCATTCAATCAGTTTTTTAGTCAGTTAGCTGAAGTTAGTTAACTGCCATGTCCAATAGGCACTGAAAAAAATTAAATTAGATCGGGTGTGGAGAGACACTCCACTATGGTCCCAATGACCACTTTTCTTGTGCTAAATTAATAACTCGCGAACGAAATAAGATATTTTGACTTGGTTTTTACATATTTGTTAAGAATAGCAAGGGGCATGTTTTTTAAGAAAATGGGCGTGGCACCGCCTTTTTTGTTAAGGAAAAATCGGTTATTATCTTTTTACCTCATAATGTTAGAAGCAAAATAAGGATGGGAAATATGGAATATGGAATATGTTTAGCAGTGCAAGATTCTATACAAAAATCATAGCACCAATTAAAAAAGCTTAAAAATCCACGATAATCGAATTGTTTGTCCCATACGGCATTCTCCATAGGAGTTTTCATTATAAAGCAATATTACACTGGATATCAAACTCTAACCCTCCAAAATAGCTAGTGACTAATAAATACTGTGGCTTAAATGCAATGCAAGATGGCACCCTAATCACAATTTTCTTCTTCATTGTGTTCCAAACGCCAAAAAAAACATTGAAATTTCTCATTTCAAATTATGATCTAAATGCAAATTGTACGAGTTGTGGTCAAATGTGGCATTTCGGACTATAGACATTTTAACAATCATTTATTGGTCTACGACACACAATAGGTTTCAAGGTGGGACTAAGTGGCACTCTATTAAAACAACTTTTTCAAAAATTAGTTTTCACTACGAACTGAAACATATTGAGGCCTCACTTTGACATACAATTACGAAGACATCGCCAACTACTAGATACCTTTCACATTACAAACCACGTAGTAAAAACCCTACTGAATAAAATGCATCCAAAAAAATGAATCAGTTAATCGTATTTTTCAATTTATGAGATATTTAAAACAGCAATAAAATTGGTAATTTTTCACTGCACGTGATTTTTAATAATGACCGCTGGGTTTCAATGCTGATTTTGCTATGCAAAATTTCTGGTAGGCAACTTTGATGGTCACTCTACTCTTTCTAATACAGAGCTCCAAAAACAACGTCTTGGTTTTAACTTTTAAAAATTAGCTTTTGGCCAAGAAAAGTGGTCATTGCGACCATAATGCACTCCTCGCCAAAAACGTGTTCTTAAATTAAAAATTCCTGCAAGTGGTAGTACTTGAGTACATACTACATACTAAGTACTTAAGTAATTAACAATCCAATCATTTTTCTTGACAATGCAATGTCAATGCAGGATGGTATTAAGGACAGTTCCATTGAACGTTGTCAATATTTTAATAATACGAATTTTGCTCAGTGAATAATTTAGAATCCTTTCCATAGCCGTACTTTTTGTTTACTCTTGGTTAGCAGTGATCGGAAAAAAAATCTCCTTGCATATTTAAACACATTCAATCCCATCAAGGTCTCCCCTACCATAAGGTTTCCTATACGAAGATACTCGCTTCCCACCAAAAATTCCATAAAAATACCTTTACCTCTGCACAAAATAACACAAACTCACTCAGGGGGTAGTGCAATTGAAAAGGCTGTTGGACTCCGTGTTCGAGTATGTCTGACTGCGCGACTGTGTAGCACTTCCGCTTCCGCCGCGGAAGCTAATGAACGTAGCAGTCTGGAGGCAGAAGGCAGAAGCTAGGCAGGGGCGAAAATTACTTGGAACTGCAAGAAAATGCCTCGGAAAATCTTAAATTAATAATAAAAGACACGAAGCTTGCCTTTATCTCTGAGAGCTGGCATTAATGTGACTTTAATTTAAATAACTTTGTTGTTTGGCTCCATTCGCCGGCGCTACCATAACTGAGAAATATGCTAGGAATTTCTGGCTTGGAAGAAATTTCCGAGACCGCGAAAGTGCAGAGAGGGCCACAGGCAAAGTCATCAAGTCAAGGCCTACAGTCAGAGTCTTGGCACTGGAAGACGTTCTCCCTCAAGTATATTTTGGCCAGGACTTGGCATACAAATTAAAGACGAAAATTAAATTTGTAACGCTTTCGCTTTTCAATTATAATCCCGGGGCCTGTCGAGCTCATCTGATTGCTTTTCGTGTATGCTTGAGTGCAGTTTGTAGTTATCTGTCAAGGCCTGACCTCAATTGAATGCCAAGCTCTTCTATCAGATATATGTACTTACGCTAACTATATATCAAGGGCCACCAATTTCTACTACCTCTCTTGAGAAACTTTCTTTACATTGCGGCTTTCGGCCTAATTAGTAAATTGACAGCATGACGTTGAGTGGAAACCAGTCAGGGGCTGGCTAAGGCCCTAGCGATTCAAAAACACTAAGAAAAACTCGCCACAAGCTATGGGCGCCTCCCATTTCTCTGTTCCCTCACTTCTTTATCCATCTTATTAAGGAAATTGAAACTTTAATGAGCTCCCATGTAAATATAGATTTTATTTGAAATTTGTTACAAACAAAACACATGGAATAATGTTGAGAGGCTCCTTTTTCTTCTTTTTACACCCAACTTTTGAGCTACTTTTTTCCACTCTCACTCCCTCGTGGTTCTTGTCTGCAACTTTTTTGACCATTCAACCAAAATGGTGCGGTACATTTTACCAAAGACTAAGGGTGAGCCTCTACAAGGACTACAGCGATGATGTTGATGACGACGGACCGCCTGCTAAGTTTCCTGCATTCGCCTAGAATTTGAGCAGAGCGTTATATGTGTACCTTAAATTATGTTACTAATTAGAAAACTCTTTAACATCAGTGGGCTATTTTCCGATTGTTTGTAGGTTTGTAAATGAGTATCATCATTATTCTTGACTTAAACGCATTTTTTGAGCCTTATTAATACTATTCCACCAGTATTTTCTCTCATTCACTTTCTCTCTGTCTCTCTCTCTCTCTCTCTCTATGTCCTGAACTCTCTGCGTGTGTCATACGTCATCAATTAAAATATTAACCAATCGTTGGCTCATTTATTGTTCTCCGCTTGTAGCTTTAACCTTTTGGCATACATTTTCCATGTCCCCTATTTTAGTAGTCTATAATATGTTTATGTTTGCCTTTGCTTCAAGCTATTTGTAAAGCTTATGAGCCCTTGAAAGAGCTTCCTGGTGAAGAGAATAGTAATCGCTGGATTCCAGAGTACAATTTTCATGTGTGTATCTGTTTGATAAATAAAAAAAAATAAATGTAATTACATAACCAATGGCAGTGAAGGAGAGCCAGAGCAGAGGCAGCGACAGAGGCCCCATCCAGAACTTAAGGCCTTCACCGTTTTGAATCTGTGTATGGGTAAGGACTCACACACACACACACACACACAGGTACTCTTTCTACACCTACATGGATATGTATCTGTTGACTTGTTGTGGAAATGTGAATGTTTATATGAATGCGCCTACTTAGCCTTTAGTTTCAAGTGCATGGCCTCTCCGGAAACCGCTGCATCCTCCGGCTGCTCCTGCCTTCATTCTCCACATCAGCGTGAGGTGCTCAAGCTGAGGTGCATGCCCAACACATACATATGCACACGTTCATTCAGGTGAATATACATATATGTATGGAGGGGGGTGCGCTTGTGTGTGTGAGTGTGTGCATAAGTTCATTTAGTTTTGGTCGCTGCTCATGTGAGTGCTCTCAAGTACGCCTTCCCATCTGCCAACTCGTCTGACCTGACCTGCTCCGTGCCCGTGTCTGACACCACGAAACTCAACTACCTCTCTACCTACCTACTCTCTCTCTTTCTATTTACGTCCACCCACTCTTTCACTCTCTCTCTGTCTTTCTTTATGTGTGTGAGTGACTTGTCGTCAAGTAATTATGAAAATTTTCAAAATGAGCTCGCGCTCCCCCTTCTTCTGCACCAGTTTTAGCTTCAGCTTCTGCTTCAGTTTTTGAAAGTTGAGAGAACGAGTAATTAAAAATTTCATAGTGGAAGGACCCCAGTCCGACTGTTGGTTGGTCGTGGTCCTGTCGTAGCATATGCTTATTTAGCTGTTGTTTCCCCGGCATTTTGCATATACATTTTAATTAAATTCGTTTTTCCCATTCACCTGTCTCTTCCCGGTCTGTACTAGTAGAAGTAGTGCATAGGCTTGCGATTCAAATTAGATGACGGTAAGGAAGGGCATTTAGGACGTGCTCCCATTTAACAGCAAAAGCCAGCTGCAA